GGGGAGGCACTCTTTATCAGGGAGTATAGGGATAGAATGAGGGGTAACGTTTTTAAGATGACAGAGGGTAGATTTAGATTAGATATTAGGATGAAATTTTTTCCTGGGAGGGTGGTGAGACACTGGCATAGGTTGCCCAGAGAAGCCGTGGATGCTCCATCCCTGGAAGTGTGCAAGGCCAGGCTGGATGAGGCTTTGAGCAACCTGGGCTAGTGGGAGGTCTCCCTGCCCACAGCAGGGGGGTTGGAACTGGGTGATCTTGAAGGTCCTTTCCAACCCAAAACATGCTGTGTTTCTGTGAAACCACATGAATTATGAGGCTGTGCTTCATTTTCTGAGAGGGTGTGTGTACAGAAACTAATCTTTTGTTGTGATTACTCTCACTCTGATAATCATTGAAAAGTCTCTTCCTGAAAAGGGAGAAGCATTTGGTGTAATTAAGAAGCCTATGAAAAAAAATGGATATGCATTTCAGAATTTTTAAATGAAATGTGTAGATAAAGATGGCTTTGAAAATGTATGTAACAGAGAGTGATTTTCATAAGCTAATCAGCCGGATATTTATGAGAGACAGACTTAAGTGTCCTATTCAGGCAGCTATCCATAAGTGCCACCAACATATCTACTCAGTTGAGTGCTGTAGATAGAAGGGGCTGGATGTTCAGAAGCTATACGTAACATTTCTGAATACCATTCCTTCTAATGAGGCAGTCAAAATGGGTACTGTAGTCATGGTGGGGTAGGTATTCAAACGTATTTGTCCCAGGAAGACAGAGTGTGAATTAATTATACTACCAACTTTATTAAATCAGCTGTGAACTCTGTTGGCACTAAATAATGGAGAAAAAGTTAGCAGCAACTATTCAGTCATGTTTAAAAAAGTCTGTGTCTGTTCTCCTCCTTCAAGCCTGCTCTTAGTCCACTGCTGGGAACCGAGAGCTTTTTAAAAAAATGAGATAGTCTCTGAGTGTTTTGAAGTATTAGGCATTTTGAGCTTTTGAGAGACTTAGTATTAAGATTTGCTTTTCCTTTAAAAAACAAATCCCTTTGATGCTCTCTGTAATTGCTAGAATCAATTGTTAGACTCAAGACAGATTTAGGACTTTTTTCTGTTCTTTGTGGGACCCAGTATATGTACTGTCCCCTGCAGGCTTAGGAATCCCAGTGATAAGTCAAATATTAGAAATAATAGGTGTGTCTTAGTTCATGGTGAGAAGCACTTCCTAGAGAATGATCTTTTCGTACTGATGATTAGTCAACAAAACTGATATAATTTTCTTGTAAAAGAAAACTTAAGTTCTGCTGGCTGCTCTTGGATCACATCTTTGCTCCCGTTGATTCCAAGTTGACTTGACTCAATTCTATATTTAACTAACTCCCTTGCAGTTAGTTGCTCAGCTTTCTGGTTTTATTTTTTTTATTTTTTTTAATTTTTTTTTAATCTATCAGATTTTATGTGGGTTTAAATGATGACGTATACTTGGACTCATAAAAGTAGGATGGCTGACTGCAATTTAAGAGCAGCAAGAGGAACTGCTGTACAGCTGTTTTCACTGCCTCTGCAGTTTCATTCCCTTAATAAACCCCCCAAACTTTCCTGTGAAATGAACCTACATCCACTGCATCGTGCAACTCCTCACTCTTCACAAAACAAGTGTTATTCTGAATATTCTGGTTCTTTGAGCAGAAGACTTTGTGTTAGCTCTTTATAGTTCCTTTAGATCAGCTCTTAATATAAATTACCATCACATTTCACACTGGCTGGATTCCACAAGGGATTTGGTAGGTCAGATTTGCTGTGGTGTACCAGATAGAATGCATAATTATGATATTTGCACAGTATTTGATAATTCAGTTTTATTCCTTTTGATTACTGTTTCTTAATCCTTTAGTGCTTTTTTTTTTTTTTCGTCAAGTCAGCTGTGTGACTACTCATGGGAGCATTTATTCTTAGTGCTTCTAGACTATTTTGTTAAGCAAAACAGATTTTGAATTTCACCTTAAATTGTAGGTTATTTCTGAAAATTTACAAAGATGTGTACGTATATTGCCTTCTCAGTGTTTATATGAGAGATATGATCTTTAGGTTTCTGTTTGAAATTTAGCCCTGGTCAAAAAGTCTTATCTGAAATCTCTTAGACGTCCCCTTGAAATATGTTTGTTGATACCAGTTCAGTCTTGGAAGACACTCTTCCATATTTGAAAAGCAGGTTGTATGTGTTTTAGCAGTTTTTGTAGGGTATAGCATAGACCTCTGGGAAATGCCTTTGGTTGGACAGTCTGAGTTTGAGAAATCAAAATTCCAAAAGTTTTTAAAAGTAAGTTGTCCAGGCTCTGCTCCAAAGAGCTTGCAATTTACAGGTTTTAATAGACCTAAATTTGTCCTTACAAGCTGCCATGAGCACTAATAGAGACTAAGAATCCCTAGAAGTTCAGAAACTATGATGTTTTGAAGTGCAGAAGAAACATCACAGATTTGAAATTGTTTGCAATCATTGTGTTCAAACTATGTCTGCAATTCAAATCTTCTTGGGAGAGCTGAGGACAGCAAAAGTCTGCTGAAGTTTATTAAAAAACAATCAACAAGATTGTGCTATTTTTCACAACGTTTTCACTAGCAAGTATGTGATCTTAGCATGAAGGGTGCAGCCTGAAATATTGTTAGTATTGTAATAATAAAAATATATCTCTAGGTAATAGATTAGAAAATATAACTTTCATGCATAACCATTCATGTGGAAAGGTCATTCTCAAAGGCTTTAGTTGTGGTGTAGGTTAAATTTAAAAAAAAAAAAAAAAAAAGGAAGGAGAGAGCATTATGTTTTGCAGATGTTTCAATTAGTCTTCAACTGTCTGAGGAACCAGTAGATTTCCTGATTTTTGCTGGTTTGAATGTTCTGTGAAGTTTGAAATTATCCTACACATGGTACAAATTCAACAGAGAATTCACAGTAATCTAGATTTAATATTCTGTTATGGATATTAATTGGCTATAAATATTCTAATCCCCTTTTATATGAAGCATGATGTCCTCTTAAAATTCACTGTTTTAATTATCATTCCACTTTCTCAAAATCAGTATGTTATTCAAAGCTCCAGGCTTGTAGGGTCAGTAATGCTAAAATCTGTCATCTTAACTAGATCTGCTTTGTATTCTGAAACACACTATCTGTACATATGTACCATATAAGTACAGTAAATAGAGTGCTATATTGAGTAATAGTGCTTTTTTTCCCCAGACCTTCAATGAATTTGAGATAGAACAACATCAAGAATGTGCTTACGACCACTTGGAAGTGTTTGATGGTGAAAGTGAAAAATCACCAATTCTGGGACGCTTATGCGGCAGTAAGATACCAGATCCTCTTATTGCTACTGGCAACAAAATGTTTCTTCGCTTTGTTTCTGATGCATCAGTTCAAAGAAAAGGCTTCCAAGCAACACACTCTACAGGTCAGAAAATCAGGATGTGGTTCACTAATAACTTCCTCTTTGTTCTTTAGTGGAAGATAGTCAGGCATTTCTTTTATAGGAGTGGGATGAGTTAACAAATAAGACAATGCTACAACTAAATCTAATGAAAATTTAAGAACAGTAGGGAAAATCTGAGATTTCAGAAGTTATTTTCTACTTTTTTAGACATTTCTTTCTCCATCTTCATGTCTCTCTCTCAATTTTATAGTTAAATGATGAAAAGATTTTGAAACAAAATCTGATAAAAATAAGATATTGGCATAGACAGTCTAAGAAATATTTCTTAAGAGCCATGTCATTAGTTTGTAGAAGATTCAATAGCTTTTCACGGTATTTGTAATGGCAATACTTCACTGATGCACCTCCATTACTTTCCTGTTCTAACTTAAACAAAAGTCTGGGTTTTGTGTAAACAGCTATTACTTTCCTGTAGAGCTAAAAAGGAAAGATAAGCCAAAGAAAAATTAGAGAAAACAATACTGAAGACTTTCTTAGGACTGTAAGAATATAATCTCCTTCACATTTATCATTTAATTTTGTTCTTTGGCACAAACCACTGAAATTAAACTTAGTGTTTTGCATTTGCATTAATAAATTTCTTGGGATATTTTCATAATGTGTACATTATTTCCCTGAAGTTGCTTGGCTTACAGTGGCCCCTAGTGCTGAATCTCTGAACTTCCAGTGCTTGCTGTAAGACAAGGAGTTTGGAGGTTTTTTGTTCTTGTTTTGTTCTGCAGACGTGATGTCTGTCTTTACTTTTATTCTTATTAATCCAGTATTTGGCAGTGAATGTTGATGCAGAAAATATTTGTAGATATCTGTGCTACTACTTAAAGTTTACTGACAGGTAGCAGTTATTAATTGAAGATAGTAATCAGGGTGACGAGTCACTGTTAATACCATTGGATATTACCCAGAATATTCATTAAGTTGATATGTAGTGCTCAGCTAACAAATCCTGATATATCAATGTGTAGCATTTTATCTTTTTTTTTTCCTTCTGCTTTGTTAAGAATAATTCTAAAACTTTATTAATTTAATTTCCCTTTTAGAGAAAGGCAGTAGGCAGCAGTATGTTAGCTATTCACTCTTCATGATCTAGGCCTGGAAAGTGAAAAGTTTAGCTACCTGGAATTCAATTTGGTTTTCTTGTGGGAAATTCTCTTCTACAAGCATGACATTATTTGCCTACCACAGTAACCCCTTGCCTTAGATAGAAAATTAGATAGAAATTGTAATAATTACTCATTTTCAAATTACGTTGGGGTAAACAGTTAAAGGTCAGAACTCGTGTTAGAAACAAGTGGTGTAAAACTACTGTTTCATTCTTCTCACTTTCAATTTGCAGAATTGGAGCAGTCATTATCTTGAAGAAGTTCAAGTTCATATTTCCTACCTTCTAAAGTTTGCTAGTTACGTCATGACTTGCTGGAATTTCCCTCGTATAGACACACACACACACACATATATATATGATGAGTTTTATATGCCTTAACTGTAAAAACTTTCTTAACATGCATAATAGTGCTTTTCTGAGAAAATCTGAAGAACAGGATCTGCCTGGTTTTTGAGAATGTTGTAAAAATTAGAAAGTTTGCCTCCTTAAGAGAGGACATTTATATCTGTCAACCACTCACTACGCTGAACAGCACATCACCAGCACATGCTTTATGGTACTGTTGGGGTGAGAGACAACTCAGATCTTGCAGCCTTTTTCTGCAGTCTTGAGCCAAACACAGATGCTCTGTGGGAATTTTACCTCTGTGCTTTGGACACACATGTGAATGAATAAGGCAGTGGATTGTATTTCCATATTTTTTTCCTAGCAAATAATAATTGATGGCATGCAGTGGAAGTAGGCAAGGTTGCGCTCAATCCTGCATCACTGTGCAGGTGGACGGGGAGAGCTGAGGAAGCTGCTCCCTTCACTTCTGATCTCTGGACAGAACTCACTCAGTAGAAGGACCTGTGTAATATAACAGTAGAGAAAGAGTAACTGAATCCTGTGCCCAAAGCTGTCTGTGCTGCTGTATGCCTGGCATCTTCATGAGTTAGTGGCCTTTTTTTCTAATAGATCCTGATGATGATGTTGATTTCCCTTCTGTGACACTTCTTGGCTTGAAATACTATCCAAATACCAAATTTCCACTGACTATTTAAAAAAAACCCCAACAAGATAAAACTGTAGAAGCAGGGGCAATAAAGTTTCAAAAAATAGATTGTATAGAAAGGCTTCCCTGGGTGGAATAAAACTTACAAAATGCTTTTTTCAAGTGTCACACAGTTTTAGAAAAAGATTCTATTTTCCCTCTACAAAAGGCATAACCCACTCAGAAAACATTGACAAAAATGTGCCTGACAGAACATTAAACATGGGAGTGATTTTGTTGCCCTAACACAGGCATCTGGTTCCCTTCTGGATGGCCTCGTTTATGGTGTCTGGCCTCCAGCCACTGCTACAGGAGGTTGCAGGTCTGCTGTAGGTCCTCTTCCTGTCTGTCAACCCTGGGAGGATGTCTCTGACAAATCTGGGCATCTCAGATGTCACTCACTTTAGGATCCTGTGTCACTTCCAAAATGACTATAATAATTCATTATGGCAATGCTGAATCAAATTTATAATCTTGTTTCACTAGTTCAGATAGTGTGGATTTAAGCTGTTGCCATCTTCAAGATGATGTCAAGAGACTACCTCTTGACTTGCTCTTATGTTTGCAAGGTGCCTAAAAGCCCTTAGAAAGGTCAGGAAACAAGACAAGGTTTTTTGTTCTGTAGTTAATCTAGACAAAACTGTTTCACCTAAAGCTGTCAGATCAGCTTGTTACAAGTCCGACATATTTGTTTGCAGTCGGATGTGTACATCGTACCTATGGGAGAGCAGACCCCAGCGCAATGGAAAGCATGGTGTTTGGTGTGGCGAGGTTAGTTCTGGTTTCAAGGCTAAGCAAGGGCTGCTGCGTGGCACTGCTTTGTTCTGTGCAGACCCCTCGCAGCCTGTCCCACACATCCTAATGCAGCGTTGCATTGTGCAGGCTGCATGTAGACTCTGAAACCACAACTTAGTTCTTAACTGAAAATTTTACTTGTAATTTCTCAAATCAATACTTATCTTAAAATAGAAGGCTGCAATCCGTGGGAGAGGGGCAGAGGAAAGAGAATTGTAATTTTCTGCTGTTGCTAGTATGGCTACAACTTTCCTTTACGGTCCTGTCCACTGTAGCAAGCAGAGGGAAACAATGCAGACAGCTCATTAAAAGTTTGCTCCTTAGCAGCTAGCTGTTCAGTGTCTGAAGCAGGGAGATGTTCTTATGGTTGGCAACAGTCCAGTCCAAAAAAAATAAATTAAAAAAAAAATTGAGGGGGGGTGCGGAAATCAGTAAATTAGAATACCAACGAGAAATAAGTGTTTGAACAATCTCATTTGAAAAAATTTCTTTACCATGTGCTCTTATCTGTTCTTTAAAAGCAAAAAAAAACTTTGAAGTTTCAGGTTGAGCAAAAGATCATGCATAATGGATTGTTTTAGTAACATACTTTATACTTCCTGCTTTGATTCCTTCATTTTGTTACTAAGAAAAAACACCAGGTTCTTAAATAAAATAAGGATTTGCTCATTACTGTCTTTAATTACCAGCTGAAATGTGACTCCTTGCTGTATAACGTTGCAATTGGTCATATTTAGTGTGGGTGGAGTCCATGACACTGAAAGCAAATTCAAATTTTCGATTCACCAAAGCTTAGAAATGTTTGAATTTTGTGATTTGTTTCAGGTTATTATAAAATGATCAATATGTAATGGCTACATTTGATCAAAATGCAGATGGAATTATCTGTTCATTTATTTATAAAAATTGAATCTAAACTTGTGAATCTCAGGTTTTGGTTCAAGCTCATTTGTGCTTGGATTGTTCTTCATAAGAAACCAGATCAAAAATATGCTGTTTTCATAGAAATCTTTGTAGCTGTAAAAAACAAAACAAAACAAAACAACCAAAAACAAACCTCCACCCATCTCTTGGAAACATAATAAGGAATGCATTTTTTTATTTTAAGTACAATTTTCCATCTGTTGTTGGTTGCATTGAACTTTTAATTAGCAAATGCATAACACCTATATGTTTAAGTTACTGTAGAAGCTGTATTCACTGGCTATTTAGGATAGAATACTAGTTTTAATTATAGCTGCTGAAAATGTTTGGAAAGGATAAAGTACTAGCTACTGGTTTGTTGTTTTTTGGTTTGTTTGTTTTTTGCCTTTTTTTTGTTTTGTTTTGTTCAGAGCATTTTCAGCCATTTCTGTTCTCCTTGAGCAAACTGGCTAAAGAATGGCTTGTTGGACTTTACAGTCAAGTTCATCCATATTTAGATTATGAACTTTTTGAGCGGTTATAAACAAGCTCTAAAGTAACACATACATTTTACTACTGTGTACAAATAGAGATTTATAATGAAAATACTACTTTGGCATAGGGCAAAGATCTCCAGCTCAGGACTTGCTTCAAGAGCCAGCTTTCAGCTAGAAGACTTTCTCTGGTAGTAGCAGCTTTCTCCTGGCCGTGATCTTGTGCAGAGAGAGACCTGTTCATGTCCATGAACAGCAAACAAGTTAGTGAGCTTGGCAGTGGTGTTTAGAATTGAGCTGGGTCTCCAGGCAGCGCGTGATAGTTAAAGCTGATGCTCCTGTGAAACAGAGGACTTTTGCACTTGATCTCTGACTATGTGTGTGCTAGAGCTGATCCTCTGCTGTCACTTGCAAATGGTGTCGTTAACCCATGTGGAAAGGCTGTCACCACTGAAATGTGGATGACCCACTTACAGCCCTTGCCTTGCTGGCCACAGGCACGTCTCAAATGCCCATCTGAAGAACATCCTGCCTCTTGAACCGCATTCCTTACAGCTTTGGTGTTCACTGCCTTTTGGTCTTTCACTTGAAAATTTTGAAATATGCTCAAATTTCTGTAGTTATAAAACAGAATATATATAGGGAAAACTCAGAACGATGGAATTGTATTCGTGCTGGGTAGTACTTCACTTTACCCCTTGTTTGACTGACCCGTTTGTGGCATAAAAATGCACTCAGCCTGAATAAGGCTGGCTGTCTATGAAAAGAACATGCTAATTTGTACTGAATAAGCTTTTTTGTCCTTATTTTTTTTCCCCTGTGTCTAGAGTGTGGTGGTCGGCTGAAAGCTGAAACCAAGCCCAAAGATCTGTACTCTCATGCTCAGTTCGGTGATAACAACTATCCGGTTCAGGCAGACTGCGACTGGCTCCTGGTGGCAGAGCGCAGCTATCGGGTTGAGTTAATGTTTCAGACTTTTGAAGTTGAAGAAGAGGCAGACTGTGGTTACGATTATGTGGAGCTCTTTGATGGTCATGATAAGACAGGTGTGAGACTTGGTCGATTTTGTGGCTCTGGGGTAAGTAATCAGGTACTATATTTTTCTTTTTTATTTCCACAACAAAAAGAAAGACAGGGCAGAGGCAGAAAAGACACAAGAAGGGCTGAGGTTCAGTTACTACACCTTATAATGAAGATACTAGGTTATCTGCTCTAGATTTTTTTTTTAATATAAATTTGCAGACTTGTGGTACAAGCATTCCTTTGAAATATTTTCAACAGTAAATATTCTTATTTAGTTTTTGACCAAGGTATTGTAATCGTATGTTAAGCTTTAGGTAGCTGACAGTGGAGTGTTTAACAGCACCCGCAGAAAAATTAACATCATTTTCCCTTACAGACAGAGAAATGCACTGCCATTGAAAATTATCACATTAAAATTCTTTCAATTTGAATGAAGAAGCTGCATTTTGCAAGGGGGAGATGAGCTTGGGAAATATTTATAATATGCTCATCTCCTACTGAAATCTGATTTTAGGAAAAAAAAAAAATGCTCTAAAACTGTGTGATTAATATGGACCTTAAGAAAGCCCTGTCGTCCCGAGTGCATCTCTGACATGTTTTAACTGTGAGACATGGAGGAAATTGGCCAGGTGACAACCTGACAGGAGTGTATCCCATTTCTCCTTCTAGACTTGCATTGTTCTGTTGGCTGCTTGCCTTGAGAAAGCTGGTGCAATGATCCCACAAATCCTCATCAATTCTTTATATGTGTGCAAATGCAAGCACACTTTCATACATACACTCTTTGCCTAGATAAGAGGTTGAAAGGCTCTACATGAGTTAGTAGGGGCTCTTAATTTACTGCATGACACTTTTTGGATTCAGTTACAGTGCCGGATCAAACATCTCCCTTGTTCAGACGAGTTACTTGTAAGCTGTCTTAATTCCTTTTAAGGCATTTTTTGAACACTTAAAGATGCAGGAAAGATGCTACTACTGAACTGTAGGCAGTATATTCTAAGAGAAGTGCTACAACTGAGCCCAGCATCTACCAGTTTACACAAAACAGTACTTTTCCTTGCAAGTTGCCCTATTTTACAAGTAGGAGGTCAGCAAACCGGAGAATGGCCCAACCTTGAGCTGATTTTTCTTTTTTTGGGGGGAAGTTGGGTGGGGAGGGAGGGTAGGTGGGGTGGTTGGGTTTTTGTCTTATTTTGGTTCTTGTAAGATTTGGATTAATAACTTCAGAGACCATTCCAAAGCGAGCACATGAGAAATATGGAATAAAATAGAAAAGCTATTGAAAGCAAAATAATCCAAGCTGAAGTGGGGAAAGGGCACTGTTAGTATACATTACTACCTTCTCAACTTCAGAAAAAGGACCTGGTAGTTTGGTTGGTACCTCTGATCAATGTGCTTCAGTAATAAAACAGGCCATCGTGAGGGCTATGAAGAATCAGATAGAAAATAGGTACTGGAGTAATTTGTTTATCTAAATTTAGAATGTTGTGTATGGTCCTGTCCAATCACTTACATGACTCCAGAAGAACTATAGAAGAAATCTGGGAAGGACAAAAGAGTGAGGAGCTCTGTTCTTTTTGTCTCATAAGAAAAGATTGTGGAGGTACTCAATACAAATTCAATAAAAAAAGAGAAATATCCATAAGAAAAAAATGTGAATGAAGGGTATAAAAACACGCAGTGGACAGCTAATTTGTTTATTCATTTATTTTAGCCACCAGAAGAAATTTATTCAGCAGGGGATGCTCTTTTACTTCACTTTCACACTGATGATACAATCAACAAGAAAGGATTTCATATACGATACAGAAGTATAAAATACCCAGATAGTGTGCGCACCAAAAAATAACCCAAGAACCTCTATACCAGGAAAGGAGAGTGAGAAAGAAAGAACGCACAGTGGAAAGGAAGGAAGGCCTGTCTTTTTTTTAAAACTGAAGTTATTAGCACAAATGTTTTATATGATTCAGTTGAAATGACGACTTACAAGACCAGAGACTGAAATAAAATTAAGAAAAAAAAAAAAATCACCTGTCCTAGCAGAACAGACAAGATGATGATGTATGGGCTCTATACTTGACTGTCCCTGCAAAGCTTGCGAAAGGACTTTGCATGCAGGGAGAACATAAAAGCTTTTGTTCATGGTTTGACATTTGTCATAGGTGTGTGCAGATTCAATCAGTTGCATTCAGGGGAAGTGACCCTGCAGACCGTTCTTCCTTCTGACAGTTGTGTAGTGTCCAGGAGGAAAAAAAAGCTCTTTCAGGTCACACGCTCAAAATACTGTCCTTATATCTAGTTGCTTTGACTTTTTATCCTGAAAATGGTGTGTACAAGGACTTGAAAGAAGATATGAAATGGGAAGGTCTTCCTGCGTTGTTCTGTATTTTTTACAAATTAATCTGTCATCAAGTTATCAGTGTTTCAAAACTGGAAAATCCTACTTCTGAAACATACCTGATCTTTAGAGTATTTTGTTTTACTAATGACTGAGAAGTCTAAACTGTTACATCGGTCATCGCTAGTTCACTGATCACTAGTTGACTGAATTTGAACAGCATAAGCATCTGAAAATGTTTGGTTTACTCTTTAAGTAAGCTATCTCTGATGATGTGCTCTTATTTTGCACTGAACATAGAAAGAGACTGAGATGAAAACCTGTCCCAAATCAAAATCTGTATCCATGAGAAACAGAAATAGTCAAGGATAATCTGAAACTCCTCCTACTTAATTTGTTTTTAGCAGTACATTTGGAACCACCACTAAGCTTTATTTCTTCAGACCTCTTTGTGAATGAGCTAATTGTCTGGTTTAGCTAATCAGAAATGAAGCTGCAGTAGTATGCAAGAGGGAGGTTTCCCAAAGAGGTTTTTTCGTGGGAGTAAGAGTGTCTGTGATGGTGATAAACAAAACAACAGCCCCAGGATTTATTTGTTATCAAGACTGAATTCCTATGGTGCTATTCCGTGAACATTAAAAACAAAAACAAACCAAGAAGTTTTAGACTTTTGAGCCAACAGCTTGCAGATCATGAATGTCTCACTATGCCTGGCTGCATCTGGAGAAGGAAGGCTTTACTGCTCCAGGGGAGAGAGGGTTGCAACAGCAGCACTAGTCCTGTGGAACAACTACTACTATTGCCTTAGAATCTTCGCACACGGTCAGACAGATCTTCCTGTAGATACACCTCAAATTTGATAAATAATTCGACAACCTGGACATCTTAGCGTAAGCTAACAAAAGGATCTTCAAGCAAAAGCCCCATCTGCAGAGCAAGATCATCTGCTGTAAATACAGTGACCTGCTTTTGATGTAGCAATATGTTATGTTTAGAACTGAGATATTCTATGTGCTTTAGGCCATACGTGGCTTTAGTCATAATGTATATGCATTATGTAAGTATTGTATGAATGAGTTCTCCAGGGGAGTGAGAGGTATTGTATGGGTGAAAATTGAATTGTTTCTTTATGTGCCAAGTTCTATCAGGACCCTGTTTGACTGTAGCAACTTTCCTTTAAAGGCTTCATAGACAGATAACAAAGACTTCTATTTGGCAAGAATCAAGTTTAAACGAAGTATTATGTTTCACTTACAAGAAATATTATTTTGATATCCTTTGATGTAAGTTGCTACTCAGATTAGCTTAGTTTCTGTTACCTTACTATGAACATACATTGGCACTAATAAATCCGATCTTTTTTTATAAAATAAACCCCGAATGTCTGTATAGGTGTCTTTGGTTGTTTAACACTGTTATTGCTGCTCATATATTACTGTTGACCTTTCCAGGCAGCTTATGTGTGTGAAGTTCAAAAACTGAATAATTTCTGTATTTTTATAACACTGCTCCACTGCGCTTTTGTTTGGTTCATTTTTCAGGCTGTTTGCACAAAAGTTAACTGCAAACATTTTCTCCAAGGTCTTTTACTACAGAATTCAGGCAGAAATATTACTATAGGTTAAAAAAATATATTCTTAACCGTGATACATAATTTATTAGCTGGGTGGAATGCCAGTGCTTGAATTTCTGAGCAGAAAAGCAAGCAGCAGCAGCAGTGTCTCCCTGGCACAGGCAGTCAAAAGGAGTTGGGAAAGTCTGAGGCTGGGAGCAAGAGTTTCCATGTTAAATTTTTTTCCACTTTTCTGTTCCAGTCTCCTCTTAAAATTATCTCCCTTCCATATGCTAAACAAAATATTTTAGGTCTTCCTTTTCTCTACATTTGGCTTTATTCCCCTCAGGGTTACTTTAAAATCTACAGGGTTGAGTCAGTTTTATTATTTTTTTAGAAGGATTTTTTTTGTTGTTGTAGATTCATACATGCCCCTTTGTGTATAAATCCAACTCTTCTATGTTAAATAGTGCAACTGGAGCAGTTGGGGAAGAAGGATAGACTGGGCAAGCTGAGAGCAAGAGCACCATGTAGTGTATTTCCAAGACCCTGTGGAGGGTAATTTGTTGCAGTCGTATCAAAATACCACTTCTCAGTATAGTATGTCTGGGATTATTTCACATGGCATGTGTAGAAGTCAGAAGAGAGTTGCCAAAGCTTTGAATATAATGTTTAATTTTATTTCTCTAATTGCTTATTCCTTTGTGGAATATGCTTAAGAGTGGTGAAAATGAGAAAGGTGTTCTTAATCTTGATGATAAATGGACTATTTGGATCATATCTGCACATGGGCCATGATGCCAGTCAACGCCTCATGGTGCTATCTGATGCTGTTAAAAGTGCAGTTATTTTTAAGTCCTAGGATGTTTTTCCTGATGTAATGAAAGTCACGTATTCAGTGAGCTCCTAGTTTAATGGAAGTTTGCCCTATGAATAGCCTAACAATAAGAGAAACAAGGAAGAAAAAAATCATTTATGCTGATGAAATTGTGAAAAACAATGTTGTTTGTCTCAAAAAATCTTTCAAATTTGTTCACGACACTGATTAAAGATCTTGCCTGTTGAGTAGTCAAAATATACAAGACCCAAAATCCAATGAGCTGGAGATCCACCTTTGACACCTAGTTACAATGCATTTACTGGCAACACTCCCAGCAAGGTGAAGAGGATACTTATTCTGGTTCCTATTTGACACAAACTTTCCTGACTGTGCATAAGCTGCTAGATTCAAATGAATTTTCCTGCATCATGACATAGTTTTCTTTGCAGCTATATAAAGAGCTTCTGACGTGTGCTGGATATTATTCTTTAATGTTGTTTAGTTCAGCATAAAGTGTTAAGTTTATGGAATATGCTGGATCTGTGTGGCTGGCTGACTCTTCAAGAATTTAAGTCTGTAGCGGACCAAATTCTGTGATCAATACCATGCTCAGATAAGAGGGAAGATACATTTGTGGAAGGCTTTCCTTCCATCCTTAAAAGAAAACAAAACAAAAATAAAATAAAAATAATTCATGGAAGTCAATTAAAATGCCTACCCCACATAAGAGCTGTTCAGGTCTAGCTGAAGTGAATAAAGCAAGGTAGGTGTACACACAGCAGATACTCTGTTCTTTGCTGGCCCTTTGTTATAACCTGCAACATATTTGACTAATCTTGCCTTACTTGAGACCTGTGAAACAGGGAGTTTATCTGAACATGGGAGAGAGCCAGACCAGATCTTTAACATAGTATTGCAGCATTACTTTTTCATTTAAAACATATTGCTTTTGAACCACTGTAAAAAATTAGATTAATTGGGTGGAAGCTTTATCCAGCTGTGGAATCAGTTTTGCAATTTTGCTGTGTTGCCAGGGGTGCAGGTGGCACACCTGATTTTTTTATAACAGAGGAAATTGTTGTTGACCTCACAGGTTGTGTGCTGTGCTAACTCTAGCTGTGTGCTGCACCACCACAGGGCGTGGACGCTACTCAGGCACACTGGAACTTTATTTTATAATTAAATGGTTCTGTTCTGCCAAAATTTAGAGATCTCAGAGTTTAGGGACCTGGTATGGTATGTAATTTCAAGAAAGTATTCAGTCTTAAGATTGACCTTACCACTAACCCAAAGGGAGTTGACTTCAGGTCTTAAATTAGGTTCAAAAAAGTAATAGAAGGGGATGGGTTTTATCACAGTAACATATGTGATCATACAGACTGGCATAACCTTTTCTAAGGACTTGCTCTTATTTTGATTTTATCATTGATCATTATGATTTAATTATTAATTGATTAAAAAAATGGTCAAAAAAAGAAAGACGAATAAGAACAAATAACATTCCTGGAAAAGGAAAATATAAAGATATCACAGATAACATTAAACAAAATATATAGATGTAGTCTCCAAAGTCAACACTGTTGCTGATATATTAATTTTTCAATGCATCCTTCATATTCATTAAAAATGCTTTATGCTGCATTGCTTTCACTTACCTGAAGGAAGAGTTAAATGATTCATTACATTGGTTAGTGAATTTTTCAAGCAGAGAACCAAAAACAACCTAAGGAATGACTTGCTTTTTGTTCCTAATGATGCATATCCTGAGTAACTACCTCTTTGTAAGAGGGAGTAACACTGGGTTATAGCTCTTACAGGTTGGTTTCTTTCCCTCTAGCACTGTCAAGTTTTGCTGCTGTATGCTGAATATTTTATAATAATAACATAATATTTTAGGTTATTCCTCATAATTTAATTCAACTAATCAAAATAATAGGTAGCTGCTTAATACCGTTGTTTCATGGAATCAGGGTGAATAAAGTCTGCTTAAAACAAAAAGAACAAGGAAAATGCATTTTGCAAGTTCTTTGTTAGCGAGTGTTCTCATTTCTCCTGATTTCTCATTCTAAGTTCACAAAGGAAGCAAGCTATAGAAGTTGCAAAAAATATTTAGGGTATCGTGATATTGGATGAACAGTGAAAGGAAACACTAGCAAGGCTTGGGTCTTCCTGTTTTGATCTCACCTCTGCAACTGTTTTCTCTCATGTTTTTCCCTTGTAGCCTATCAAATCTCGTCCTAATCCAAAA